TACCCCCCAGGGCCCTACTGTTATGTGACGGGGTTTGCTACGATGTTAGGCGTCGACGACACCGTGAGGCTAGTCGCACGCAGCTACATGTGCATGCACGCCATGCGTTTCTCGTCCGCTCCATCAAGTCCCACGACGAGTCCCGTGGATTGTCTGGTGGCGTATTCTCTATGCACAAAATAGATGTCGCTTGGTAGTCAAACCGTTGAATGAGCAAAGCCAGCAAGCTCGGTCTCTATGGCATACCGTACCGTTTCTCGTCACCCAGCAGAGATCGAACGAGGAGCGATACCAGCCGCGCTGTAATAGTCCCTGCGTCCTCACCATGCAAGGTTGATCATGGATGATAATTTAAAATGATATCCACTGCCATCTCGCTTCACTCGGAACAAACGCCTCCTGCCTCCCAAAGCCCCTCCTAACCCATGTACTTCGACGAGCCTTGTCGCCAGCGCGGATTCTGCGTGTACTTAGCTTGTAGATGTGGGTGCGCGCCACGTTCCACGTCGTGGCGACTCTAGAGCGCCTGAGCAGTGCTTGTACGCACGTGTCTGCATAAAGGAGACGGCGCGTCGGGACCCTGCGACAGCGAGCTTGTGTAACGTTGCGTGCAACTAGCCGAGCCCGGTCGTCGTGTTATAACGCACCTTTACGCTTAACAGAAAGGGCAAACTGGCACCAGCTGCTGCTTCGGCGGATACAGCGGAGGCGCGACTCACGCGCCGAGTCAGACAACACGAGCGTGGTTTGTACATCATTGGTGAAAAGACAGGTTCCTCGATCAACGACCTCGCAACCATGGCCGCCGCCCGCCCCCGGATCATCCTCTTTGATGGCGAGATCCCGCACGAGTCGACGCCGCAAGCCAACTTTATCGAGATGCAGCAGCATCAAAAAGCCAGCACGCACGGCCTCCTCTACGACGTGAACCGGGACCACCGGGCCATGTCGGTGCCGCGCCCGCCGCCCAGCACCAACTTTGCCAGCCTACGCACCGGACGCCGACGCCGGCGCGCAAGCCGCCCACGTACAACCCGAGCGACTATGGCTTCACGGCCAAGATGCGCAGCCCGACGGCCATGTTCATCGGCGCGGTGCTTGGCGCAATTGTTGGCGGCGTGCTCGCCAACTACAAGGCGCTCAACGGCGACGACATCACGCCGGTCGCGGCGCAGTGGGTCTCGCTCGTCGGGTCGCTCTTCTACCGCGCCATGACGTGCATTGTGATCCCGCTCGTGCTGTCGTCCATGGCGCTCAGCGTCTCCGAGATGCTGCGCATCGGGAAGGGCACAGCGATTTCGTGGCGCGTCGCCTTGTACTTTTTGCTCACGAAAGTGCTCGCGGCCACGACCGGGCTTGTGATTGCACTGGCGTTTGCGTCTCAGTTTCAAAACATCGATGCCTCGCACAAGCAGCGCGACATTACATCGGACGCCAAGATGTGGCTGCGCTGCGGCAGCCTCCCGTCCGACGACAAGTTTATGACGCTCTCGACCAACGGCAGTATCACGTGCGAGAGCCGCGACCCGCTGGATGCGCGCGCGATGGCCAACTCATCCTTTGTCATGCGCGACACCAACAACGTCTTTGTGAAGAACGCCGACATTGGCGCAATGCCGAAGCGCACGTTTGCCCAAGCCGTCATTGACATCTCCAACGACATTGTGCCCGACAACGTCGTCAAGGCTATGGTGTCGACCAACGTCCTCTCGGTTGCGATGTTTGGGCTTCTCTTTGGCGCCGCCGTCTGCAAGAACTACCGCCAAAACTCGACGGGCACGCATTACGTCATGGACATTCTGCGCCAAGTCAACCACGTCTGCACGGTCCTCGTGCACTGGCTGCTCGTGCTTGCTCCAATCGGCGTCGCGTCGCTGATCGCGGGCGTCGCGGCGTCCAAGCAGCCGATCGTTGGCGACGGCCGCGCGTTCTTTGCGCAAACGTACGCGTTCTTGCTGACGCTGGGCATTGCGATCGTGGTGTATACGTGCATGCTGCTGCCGCTCTTCCTCGGCCTCCTCGCGCGCATGAACCCATACCCATACCTGCTCAAGATGTTTCCGGCGCAGCTGTTTGCGTTTTGCACGGCGTCGAGCGCCGCGACGCTGCCCGTGTGCATGCGCTGCGTCGAAGGCACGAAAGAAGTGAGTCAGTCGCTTGCACGCTTCGTCATTACGCTCGGCGCGCCGCTCAACAAGGACGGCGCGGCGATTTACCTCTCGGTTGGCATTGTGTTCTTGGCCAACAGCGCCGGCGCGACGCTCTCGGGCCTCGACCTCTTCTTGACGATCGTGCTGAGTCTCGTCGGCTCGATGGCCGTGGCACCCGTGCCCGGTGGCTGCCCGGCCGTGCTCTACTGCATTTGGACGTCGCTCACGTCGGTGAATTCCAACCAAGTGCCTGGCGCGCTTCAGACGCTCCTCCTCCTCGATTGGTTTGTCGACCGGTTCACGGCCGCGGTCAACGTCACAGGCGACACGGTCGTCGCCCGCGTGATCGCCAAGCAGATTGATGAACAAGGCGTCGACGAGCAGACCGCCGACTACTAACTGTATGTGAATCCACCCCTTGATTGATTATATGAGCCCGTTGTTGGTAGTTTGTGAGGTAACGCGGTACCCAACATGGACGCAGAAGACTAGTAAGTGTCGTCCTCCATGTGTGCCCTCGCTTTGGTTGTTGCGGTGGATGCGCGTGGGAGCTCGTCGAGGACAGTTACCCTACCCCCGATAGCACACTGCCGTGGCGGCGTGGAGGACAAAGTACGCACCGCTCGGACACACGCTGGTCGTCACACACGACGGCGCTGCGTCTCATCTTCCTCGACGTGTGTACTCGACGACGCGCGCACTGCCGCCACGGGTGCAGGTTGCGACTACTAACTATCAATACAGGTGCATCCCTCCCAGTTGCATCCCTCCCAGTTTTTTACGGGCCATATTTAACGCGAGTTGTTGTACGGGCTTGAGTGCATGTGCACATCTGCAGCAGTGCTAGAGTATTGAGAGCTCGTTTCGCTCGGTGCGAGCGCTCTGGTGCTGCACAATATTGTTGTTGGAGCTGGATGCTGGGCGGTACCATCGAAGTTTAAAGAAACCAAAACTTCGATCTCTGCCTTCGAGGCTTTTCATTTTCGACCACGCGGCCACGGAAGAGACAGACAGGAATGGCGTTCGACCTCTTTGCCCCGGCCAAGACGATCAACTACGACTTCGTCGCGGGCATGTAGGGCCTCTTCACGCTCCTCGCGATCGTGCTCTACGTGCTGCAGCACTACACGGACGCGGTCGAGGGCTTCTACATCGTCATGGCCCCGTTCGCGCCGTGCCTGCTCTGGAGCCTCGTCGTCCGCCGCAACTGGCTGCGCCTCGAGAAGCCCAAGACCGAGTAATTGTACTCTAATGTGATGATTGTACTACGCAAAGTGGCGCGACGCGAAGCGTGGCATGTGCTGTCGCTTCGCTCGCTTCTCCCGCACCAGCGCGAGCGCCTGCCGCCGCCGGTACGCGCTCTGGATGCGCACGACGCTGCGGTACGCCGGGCTGCTCTCGGCCTTGAGGATGTTGCGCGAGTTGGGCCGCGTAAACGTGATCTTGCAGCGCTGAAAGCTGTAGTAGTAGCGCGCCTTCGTGGGTAGGTCAACGCACTCGACCCACGCGTTGTCCTTGTCCCGCGCGAGCTCGAGGGCGACGCGACGCACCTCGACGTCCGCACGCAGCTTGGCGTCCGAGAGAAGGACCTCGAGCATCTGCAGCTCCATGAAGCGGGGCACGACGACTCTGGCGCCGTCAAAGTTCCTGCACAGAAGCATCGACAACAAACATACGAGAGGCAAGCACCTACGGCGGCTCGTCGAGAACGCACGCTTGGGTGTCGCGGTTGTAGTAGTACGGGACACCGCCGTCCTCTGTGTACGCCATGAACCACACGTTTTCCTTGGGCGTCCGGGTTGGGGGCTCGAGCACCTTGGCCAAGTACGGTGCCGCGACCGCCGTCGGCAGCACATGCGTCTGCATGTGCACGTGGTCGACGGCGCAGGAGACCCAGTCGCGGAGCAAAAGGTACGCGGGCATGCGCAGCCAAGACGGATCGGACGGCGGCACGCGGTATGTCGACGGCAGCGACGCTTGCAGGTCGTCGAGATGCAGGCGGGAGAGGTCGTACGGCTTGGTGAAGAGTCCCATGGGCTCGTTGCAAGCGACCCACTCCCACCCGCACAGGTGCGCATCAATGTTCTTGACAATCCACGCGGCCCAGACGCCCGACCAGAGCACAGAAGACGTGGCTTTTGGCGACGGCACGTTGAAGAGCCAAAGGACGCAGCGCACAGTGGTGAGGACGGCCTCGGACGGCGGGAAATCCCACCCGAGCGGGTCTAAAAAGTCGGATTTGCCCATTTCTTGGAGCGCAATCACGCTCTCGTCGTACGCCGAGACTAGCAACACATGCATATCGTCGCAGCATCGACGAGGAAGGAGGTACCGATCGCGAGCACCTCCATCTTTGTGAATGCTGGCGACACGTACGGACGCTTGGCCATGTACTCCTACGCTGCTAGATCGGTCTATGGCCGCGCAAGGGCATCGTACCTTGTCGAGTTGTATGGCGATCTGCGCTTTCGAGGCGCCTTTGGCTTGCAGCTCCTTCTTGAGCTGATCGAGGTGGCGCACCAAGGCGTCGTCCTCGGGCATAATGCTGCTGTAGGAGCCAAACGACGATAAAGATAGACCTCCAATGCGTTTGGATAGCGCTCAAGATATCCATTTTCTTGCAGCGACCGACTTGGGACGGCAGCGTATTTGTCTGTCGCATCTTGCACCTACTGGGTGCGAATACCTGCACGTCCCAACACAGACTGGTCGTTGGGGGGGCCGCTTGAGCCGAGCAGTATGATTCCTGCTTCTGCCTCCCGAGGTCGCCGGTTCGATTCCCGATGCGCCGTATTTTCTATCCGGACTCCCCCCCATCCGGACACGAATGTCACTGAAGACGGTCACCATAATAAGGCCACGCTCGGCAAGTGCCACAAGGAACACATGGAAGAAGCAAGATGAAAACGGCATATGCCGGTAACTCGTGCCTACCGGATATTAGGTTGGAGGTAGGACGACCCTAGAAATACGACCCTTAATCCGTAAAATAACGAGAACACTCAGTTCAACACAGACTGGACGAGGACTGCGTAGCAAAACGGCGGTGGTCACGGCCGAGGGCGGAACCGACAAACTCCGATGTTGATGCAATAGTATTTGAGTTCTTAGATCGTTGTGTTGGCGGCGACGACTGGTTTCACTTGGCGCCTCTTGTCTCGCGTCCGTGCGGGGTACCACTGCACGGGGCTACAGTACCGTATACCTCATAACAACTCACCACTCAAAATCACCCACTTGAGCCGATTTTCCTCACAATAACTCACCAAGGCCGATTTCGGCGCTCACAATAGCTCACCATCGGAAACCAATTATGCATAAAGTTGACTTGAATAAACTATACTACTTTTGGTTGCGACTTTGTTGTTGAGTATGCAACAAAAATAGTATAGTTTAATCAAGTCAACTTTATTCTAGTGGGGTGTGAGTAACACGCTAAGAAAAAAATTAGACATAATAACCCACCTTCTGGAAAATTCCAACTCACATACCAAGGGCGTTTTTGGCCGATTTTGGTGGTGAGTTGTTATGAGGTATACGGTACCACGCCGACGCAAGACAGGAACAGTGCCGAAGAGAACCGTGCTGCAAATCGAGACGACCCACGTCCTGCCCTGACCAGCATACTTGTTTTCGACAACAATGACCAACGAGACCTCTGCTAGCATGCAACAGGTACTGTATGGTACCTGCTCACACCCTTGCGTGACGTGATCGCTAGGCGTCCAATTCGACAAACGTAATGCCCGCCCTTCTCGCCGTCGCTGACACCACGACGTCCACCGTACTACCGCTTCCTTCTTTGACGCGGCATCGCAACAATGGTATAGGACACGTCACCCTTGCTCAACGCGGTGCAAATCAATGACGCGGTGCTGGTGACGCGCCTGCTTGACGAGGGCGAAAACCCCAACTCGTCAAACGAGGTACCTGCACCGTCGACTTGTGTCGCGAGCTTGCTTGCGATGTCAATAAAACGGGTGCACACCCCTTATGACGGGTGCGGCGGCTGGCCACAAGGCGATAGCGGACGTGCTTTTGGCGCGTGGCGCCACCATGGATCTTGTCGACAAGGTGCAAAGTGGCGCCATGGCTGTTTCAGATTGCAACATGTCCTTTCTAGCACGGGTGCAATGCAATGACCTACGCGGTGGCGCACCTCCGTAAGGACATTATCGCGTGCTTGCATACGCACGGCGATTCACTTGATGTGGTCCAAGCATTGACAGGTCTCAGTCTTGTGCACGCTGCGGTCGCCGATGCGATGACGACCTTCAACGTGGAATTCCTCGCGTATCTGTTGGCGCGGGGTGCGTCGCCCAGCTCGCGGCTCTGGACGCCGCTGCCCGACGAGCACCAGCAGCTTCCAGTGGGCCATTTTATGGCGCGAGATGTGCTCTTTGCGCACGCTTCGCCGCTGACAACAGCACTGGCGTCGGGGAACCCGGAGCTCTTGGATCTCCTCCTGGCGCACGACGCAGACCCGCGCTTGGAGACACCGGTACTTCCGGACGCTGCTGCGCCGCCGCTACATCTCTACTAGGCGATTTCAAAGGCAGCTTGTGGAGCATGCGAACGTCCGCATGAAGATTGCGTGGGCGTCCATGGCCATGATGCGTCCGGGCGAGTCCCACGACCTCGCGGTCCCTTGTATTTGAACCCGGCAAGAGCTAACACACTTGATAGACAAAGCAAAGCCCGCTCGAAGCTGCCACCTTTTCCAACTCGCTCGGGCTCGTCAAGCTCTACACGACGCTCCAAGAGGGCATGCATGCCTTTCCGGTACCACCACCCATCTCGTGAGGATACGAAAGTGACGTTCTAGGGTCCGCCCCTTTTGCTCGCCGTGCACTACAACGAGCCCGACATGGTCAAGTATTTCTTGCCAACGTCGGACATTGACGCGATCACTGCCGTACGCACGTGCTTCTCGGCTGGGCTTGACGACGATCATAGAATGGTGACTATGCTCTCTACACTGCGGCCATGAATGGTCTCTTGGAGATCGTGCAGCTTCTCGTCGAGCATGGCGCCACTGTCGCGCCAACCAACGTGGTACGACACTGCGCGATAATCACCGATGACGCATGCGCGTCTAGGGCGAGGTCCTTCCCATTAAGGGCGCGTACGACAGAGGCCACGACAATGTCGTCGTCTATTTGCTATTTGATCACCAAGATGGACAATCTCAACATTTCATTGGTGCGCCTCGCTGCAATGCCGTCTTTACTGCACTGTTGTCATAGAACGGAGAACCCTTCCTGCTTTGCGCTTGCGCCGACGGCCGCATCTCGGTCGTCGACGCGCTTCTCCGCGCCGGTGTCGACGGCAAGGCGGCCGACTCGGTGCGTCACTGCCTCCATGTTCTTGCCTTGTAAAGACTGCGCCGTTATGTAGAACGGCATCACACCGCTCATGCGCGCCGCGTGCGTGGGTCAAACAGCCATCGTGGCACGCCTGCTGCAAGAAGCGCCGATCAATGTTGACGCAGTGGACGAGGTGCGATCCCTTGAAAACGTGCTCGATGGTCTGTCATGGACTGGCGCAGAGCGGGCGCACCGCCATCTTTTGGGCGGTCAAGTCGCCCCGAACAGACGACGCTCGACTGGCCATCCTGTCGATGCTCTTGGCGGCCGGCGCGAATGTACACATCGCGACCGATGTACAAAAATGTCATCTCGACTGGCGACCGCATAGGATTATGCTTTGTAGGCGGACTCGACGTTGTTTACGCAAGCCATTGCATCTGGCCTGCGCGACGTCGCCGAGCTGCTCTTGCCGTACTTTGATATCCACGAGGGCGCTCTGTGTTATAACGAGACAAAGACGCTTCAAGTGCGCAGCGCCACCATCGTTCGAGACACTCATCTTTTTTGCTAGCATTTCTCGTACCGTATGCATGGGCTAATCGCATCTCGATTCCTTTAATCTTTGTCCGTGTTCACTGATTTTTTTGCTCGATGGAGAGTTTTGTGGATGTTTTTAATTCGTCGTTCGATCTGAAAAAGGAAGAGCACGTCGTGGCCGTTCTATTTCTGCCATTAATATGGCATTTTTCTATGCCGCCTGTAAAAAAGATGAATAAAATGCACTCTGATTTTTTCACCTGTTGATTTAAAAATGCAAAACGTTTTAATCAATTCTGCATAAAATAATATAGTAATCGCTATGAATTGCATAAAAATCGTGAGGTTTCTGAGTCATTATTATTATTCGCACTTTTTAAAATTGCTGTGGAAGCTGATCCATCTGCCCTTTATATGCTTCTCAAAAAAATTAATTCTCGCGAGCCAGCACTTGACCTCAAACGTTCAAACGTGCACATTTGGACGGTATGCTCCTTCAGTTTTTCTCGGATTGACGACGTGTTGTAACGCGCAGCATTGAGACGCGTTACGCTAGGATTTTAGATTTGTCTAATTCGCAAAAATGACGAAACGAAATTATAAAAAGTGACGGCTGAATCGATTAGCCCATGCATACGGTACCTCCGGCTCGCCATCCTGCACCGCCAACCGCACATCGTGTCATGGCTCATCGCGCTCGGTGCCGATGCCAACCTAGAAACGGTCGAAAACCTGTCCTTCCAACTGACACTAATACTGACGATTAGGACGAACATCTTCCGTTGCTTTGACGCAGTCATGCACAGCGACGCACGCACGGTCGCGGCGCTGCTTCCCCACGTCAAGAACTTGGAAGCCATCAATCCGGTCAGTACACCTACCCTCGCCACAATTTGTTTTCGACACGGCACCGACCTAGTATGGGCACACGGCGCTGCTCGTTGCGACCGTCCATGCGAACGTGGATATGCTACAGCTTCTCGCTGCTCATGGCGCCAACCTCGCATACGTTGACCAGACATCGGTACATGCATTGTAATCAGCGATGGCCGCGTATCTTTGGAGTAGGAGCCGACGACGGTCATCGCACTGGCGAGTAGCCTGGGTCATGCGGCCGTGGTGCGCTGCCTGCTAGAGCTGGGTGCACCAATTGACGTCCCAAACGTGCGCTCTCGCTTCTGAATCTTGGGTACTGAGAGGATGATGTAGACAACACAGAAGGGGTCGATGGCACTGGCACATGCTGTGATCCGCGGCCACGGCGATGTCCTTCGCGCGCTCCTACCTCTTGTGGATGTGAACGCGACAGTGGTCCACGACTCGCGGTGCGAAACCGGTCCGGATTGGCATAAAACCCTTCGGAACACGGCAATGACGATGCCACTGCACGCGGTTGTTATGTGCGAAGCCATGGAGCCCGTCGAGCCCCATGGTGACTACATGGATGCTCTCCGCGCGCTTCTCGAGTGTCCGTCCATCGACGTCAACGGTCGCTCTGCGGTACCGCATGACTTTAGTTGATTTGCCGATTTGGAGATTGAAGTGTAGGAGGCCAATGGCGCGACGGCCTTGTTCTGTGCGTGCGAACGCGGCAACCGCAGCGTGGTGCGTGCGATCGTCGAGCACCCGGACTGCGATATCAACGCGGCCGACAATGTAGGATACACTGGATTGGCAACGAGAGATTGGACACGTTGTCGTGTAGGATGGCAACACGCCTTTGCACGCGGCCTCTCGAAAGGGTTTTCCCATCATGGTCTCGTACTTGCTGGCGCAGCAGCCACGGATCAACATCCTTGCTGAAAACAAGGTAACCATTATGTACCCAAGGGAAACGATGCTCATCTCACTTGTGCAATAGGAGGGCATGACGGCATTGCAAGTCGCAACCGCGCATGCCAAGCGCGACGTGGCGGCACGATTGTGCCTTGAACCAGCGCTCGTCGTACACGCCTTGACCAATAATGCCAAGTAGATAGCCTAGTTGATGCTCTCTTCATTAACACGACTCGTTGAATGAATGCGGGGTCCTTTGTGGGCCTGCTCCAGCGAAGAATGCCTGCTCCAGCGAAGAATGAGAATTCCACCACTGTCAACTTTGCACATTTGGCCGACAGAGACAAACTCGTAACCGTCACGAAAGGGCCACCTTGATCAAGTGCTGGTTCAACGCGTCACATCGGCACCAATGCAGACTGACGTTTGCAGACTGACGTTTGCCCGTCCGTGGCCACGGGCCCTAGCATTTCTCACATATGCTCACCTCAGCGATCGCACTGGCTTGGCTGCCGCCTCGTTGAGCTCAGCGGCATGCTCTCTGTCGCCGCCTCGATTGGTCTCAGCGCCTACGCCCTCGCTGTCTTTGCCTCGTACCTTAAGACCGACTACTTTTTCCCCAACTTCAACACGGCGGCACCTATCCTCGTCGCCATCCTCAACCACCACCTCGTTCTCTCAAGATCCGGTAACATCGACGTCTTTGGACCTCAATCCTCCTTCGTACCGTCACTTCAAGGCACGAGCCCGGCATATCCGCGCCTTATCATGTACCAAGAGCTCACGCGTCTTCTCGATGGCGTGCGGGGTCTGCGCCGCCTCGACGCAACGCAGGTCGTCAAAATGGTCTCGCCGTACTGTTGGGCCGACCTCAACAAGACGTACGAGCTCGCATACACTACAAAGCGCCAAGCACGGTGTGCTCAGTACGAAGCCACGAACGGCGCCGTGCACCTCGAGACCGTTCTCCGCAACATTGATTTCAGTGGCTTTGTGGACGCGACCCAAGGTCTTTTTCTGTCGGCGATCGCCCATCCGATTGCGCGAAGCGGACCGGCTGGCGCAGCTTGGCTCTCATCTCTAGAGACGCATGTGTGGGCAGCCGAGTCCGATGAAGTCGCACTCTGGGCGTCGTGCGGTCTCGACCGCTATACGCTGCAGTACGGCACCGGCATCAGCATCGGCGTGTCCGAGTCGATTTTGGTCGAGACAGCACTCGGTCAGAGATTGTCGCTGCCGCTCAAGACAATACCGAGCACTAATCGGTGGACGTTCCGAACGACCCGGGCGCTTTACAACCTCTTGTACAACGACTTGTACGCGAATGGGGCCAACGGGAGCCTCGTTCGGGGTACCACCAACTACTTTGGTGACGTGGACGCGAGTCGGATCGAGGCGTTCGCTACGCAACGTACACTCAAACCAGTGCAAGAAGCCGTCCACTATGGTCTTGGCTCGTTCGGTAGCATTGACGCCAAGTGGGTACCACCACCACCGCGCCTTCTCACCGCTGTGCAAGCGTTCGAAGCGACCCTTATTGCAGCACTTGTTGCGTCGACGACGCTGCCATCAGTTGATATGTCGCGCGAAACGCTGCTCGTGACACCTCGGCGCTGGAGAGATCGTCAGCTCGGCTTTGTCTCGGGCAATCCCATGTGCACTCTGGGACGACGGCAGAGCTTTGTCCAGCAAACGTTTCGGTTCGATGACGTTTGCGGCAGCCAGACACCGTTGACCCTCGAGTGGCACAGCTTCAATGCCGTCTTTGCATTCTGGCTTCTCGGCGGCTCCGTGTCGACGACCGACGTCTGCGCGTCCTTTCCCAGCGACGCTATTGCCTGTCAGCGACTTGTGGCGAAAGCTAAAACGCTGTATGACGCATTGTCTCTACCACCGCTGGATCAGGTGTTGCTCTCGGATCTCTCATCGCTGGACGTTGGCTTTCTCCAGATCTTCTACACCAACCAGACAGCCATCTCTATGGACCAGCAGCTGCTCCTCGCACCCGACTTTTCATTTCTCGGCGCCATGTATGTCTACGACTGGGCACTCAACTTTCGCGAAGTCGTCTCGTTCCAAGGCGACGTGGCTACGTACACACTCCTCTCTGGCTTGTACGCTCCGGTGGTTGCTGACCCGATCGTGCCACCGGCAGCACTCGGCCCGTACCTTTGGTACCTTGCAACCGTCACCACAGGCACTCTAGCGATTCTGGCCGGGCTTGTTTTTGGACTGCGTTGTGTTAGCGGCGATGCTGGCTACGACTGGTTTCACTTTGCGCCTCTTGTCGCTTCCGTGTGGGTGAGTCGAAATTTCTTGGTGTTTCGAAGTGCTGCGGCCATTCTGTGCTTGGCGACGGCGCCACTCGACACAACGGCTTTACATGATGTCGCACGCCTCGTGCTAGCGCCGCGGTCGATCGCAACGTCAAGCGTGCTTGCACTGGACTGTCTCTGGCTCGCCCACGTGGCGCACGGCGTGCTGCTTCCACTCAGTGCCGCCTGGTCGGCGCTACCGATTCCGTTTCTTGGCTGGCTCGCGATCGTTTTGCTTGACCAGCTGGCGCCCGTCGCCTTGACCTCTTCGCTCGACCGACAGTGCTTCGCTATCAATATGGACCAAATGACGTATTGTGCCAATGGCGTCATCAGCGTCGGCCGTTTTGAGCGGAGTGTGGCCCTTGTGGCGGTCGTCGGGGCTGTTATTACCGCGTCGTTTGTCTGGTCGTTGTGGTACCCTGACTCTACTAGTGCGTCGCCTCGCCCAAGTGCTGTTATACCACCGATAGCACCCCTGCATGCCACCTCGACAGGTCATCGCCTGAGCCTGGTCACGGCGATCATGTGCGGGCTCGTGCCGCTGACCTGGAGAAACCGCGTTCACGTGTTTGACCTTAAGCTATGGCTTCTTATCCAGTCGGACGACGAAGCGCTGGACTCTACAGTGCAAGCCCCTGTCACACTGCTACCATTCAGCGCACCGTCAATACTCTCGCTACCCTCAAGGGTCTCACATTCCGTCTTGGGCCGCAAGTCGGTTCAGAGTTTCCTACGGTGTACAGGGCTTGCGTACATTGGCATCACTCTCTGGAGTAACGCGGCCTACTTGAGCGTCTTGGAGACGGCGCTGGCCAACGACTATGGCTGGGCCGGCTTCAATGCTACCGGCATGCACGCCTTCCTGGCCAACACCTTCAACCGCCAGCTCCTCACGTCCACCGACGCTTCGATTGCACTGCACGACCCAGCGTTCGGGGACCCACTGCAGTCGTACAACTCGTCGGCTATCACCGTCGCGTGGTATCCCACGGTAGCGCGCCGGTACCTCTTCAATGCATCCGCGCCATTGCACGAGCTGGTGGCAGGTCTCCGTGCCATGCATCCGTGTCAACTGCCGTGGATGTTTACGCAGTACTGCTGGCTCGACCTGGATCGGACGTGGGAGATGGCCAGCACCAGCCAGCGTCAGGTCCGGTGTGCAGATCTCAGCCAGCACAACGGTGCCCGGTACCTCGAGACGAGTCTGCGTAATGTACAAGACTGGGCGGTATGGCAATCTTGCTGGGGCTCCTCGTTCGACATTGGCATCGGCAACGACTTGGCAGCGTCCGAGGCAGGTCGTCAGTGGCTGCACCGTGTTCAGACAAATGCCTTGTCTGTGCCAGAAGAAGTCGAGTACTGGAGTAACCGTGGCATCTCGGTGTTCTTGCTGCAGTGGCAAAACTTCAAAGACACGGGTCTCAGTGACTCGATGGTGATTTCGACGCCGTTCGGTCTCTCGTATACGCTGCCCATCAGTGAGCGCCGAGGCGTCGTGCACCTCGACTACCAGACGTCGCATCGCATGTACTGGGGACTCGCGAGCGACCGCTGGGCCGTGAGCACCAACGCGACCAGCATCGGTGGCTTGTCGCTCTTGCGCAATAGTCCCCACTTTGCCTTTGCGAATGCGACACGCGCGAGTTTGCTCTTTGAGAACCTGACGCTCTCGTCGCCGCTCAACGCTGGTTTGGCGCTGTATGATAACTCGTTGGGACCGTTTGGCGCCGTCGACATGGTGTACGTCAGCTGTCCGACGTCGCTGCTTGCGCTCTACCGCTACATTCTGCACGCGATCGCCACTGTAACCAGCTCCAACCTTGAAGCCCAGAGGCAATTTCTCAATCTGCCTGCCAAGACATACATTGGTCAGCTGCCACAGGCTCTGCTCAACGACACAAGCCTGCGCCTCGTGGGGGGTAACCTCATGTGCGGCAGCGACCTGCCGGGATCCCGGCCATCAAGGGCGCTGCTGACGCTATACGGCATCGACACAGTTTGCTCGTGGCAATACCTCGACTTCTTTACACCGTCCACAACCGGCCTCGTCTTTGCCCTCGCTGCGTTTGATGCAGTGCATCGCGTTCAGCCAACTGTCGACTTTAGAGCCTTTTGTGCAAGTGATGTATACGCCGAGCCCAACTGCGAAGCCATCTACCTCCCGTCCCATACCTTTGCGACAAGCTACTTTTCAGATCCAACTACGCTTGGAGAATTGGCAGTGGCGGCCGAGGCCGACACCCACAATCTCTCGATCGAGATGACCCAGTACATCAACCGAACCAGCAACATCGAGCTGTATCGAATCAATATTCTGGATCCGACTGACCGAACCTGGATGTTTTTTGGCTGGAACTATTTGGCCGATTGGGTTGTCGGCAAGCGCGAAGTCGTCTCGTTTCAAGGCGACGGCGGCACAGTCACGGCCATGTCCCGCTACACGACGCTCTCAACCCTTTCTCTCACCGAGGCAGTGATCCCGACGCGTCTCTCATACGTCTGTCAGCAGTGTGTCCGGTACGTTACAGGCGCCATGATGGTGGGTGCGGGAGTTGCTGCCTACTATGCCATCTTTGTTTGCCGCGGTTGTATCGAAGGCATGAACCTCTTCTCGGTGAACCGACTCATTGGCCACGCGTGGATTGGTCGAACTTTGCTCATCATTCGCGGTATCACGGCGCTTTGGTTGCTGAACACGCCATCTCTACAGCTGCTTGCGTTTGGCGTCGGCGCTCGGTTTCAAGCGTCGCCGCTAGCGTGGTTCCCGACGCTCCTGGCTACGTCCGAGCTCACGTGGCTCGTCTACATCGCCAACGATCTCTTGAGTTGTGTCACTCGGCAATACACGAGGTTGTATGCGTGGAAGAGCTCGGTTGCAGCGTGCATAGTCGCGGCAGCCTGGTCCTCCATGCATCCGCAAGAGTACACTACCTCTGTGCGCCGAACCTGCAGCTACATCGACATGGATGTAACTCTGGTGTGTACGAGCGGCTACGTCGAGCTGGGTCACTGGAGCCGCGTCGGCGTTGACGTCGGTCTTTGTCTCAGCTGTGTTCTCTTGATGGCTTGTGTCGAGCGACTGCGACACCCCAATCTTCCATTGGTACCAACGCCATCGCTTCTTCTCAACACCACAAGTGTCTACTCGTCCAACATGACCAACTGGATCGTCCATGGCCACGCGTATATGGATCGTATGACTGCCGTCATGGGCGGGCTTTTGACGTGGCGCTACCACGGCGTTCTGCACGTCTTTGACATCAAGTGCTGGCGGACCTTTGTCGTCGTGCCCGAGGCGGAGTGTCCGTTTGAGGTCGGCGCCGTCCTTCCTCTACATCGCATTTGCTAGGGACATATAAATCAAAGGTGGTCATTCTTGAGTGCCGTTTGAAATGACGACGGGATTAGCTGGTGGGTTAGGGTATCAGACACGCAGACAAATGATCAATGACTTGTAGACAGTCATAAAATTTGTTGCGGAGACAAAACAACTGCGTTCATGCTGCCAGCGTTGTCGCCGCCCGCGTTGATCCCCCGCCTGAGGTGCCCCATTTTTAAGCCGCACTAATAAGGTCACGTTACCGATCGTCCTGCACCGCGATCTCCAATCGCTGATGCCGCCTCAGTCGCTGGTGTCTCTCGAAGACCTCGACAAACTGTGCGACGTCGCCGCCGATCGTGACGCCTGGAAGAACCGTTGGAGCGTGCCGTCATGGGTGTCCCTCGCGGCCGCACGCGCCCCGGGCGACTAGAAAAAAGCAAGACGCACCCCGCGCCACCGCTGCCACGGCCGGCGAGCAAATATCAAGAGAAAGATAGCGCTAGTCTCTACGTACTATACAAAGTCGTTGGTGCAACATGTAGAGAGGGCAAAACACGTTTACATATAATGGTGCCACAGACGAAGTGGGCAGAAAGCACTTCATTACAGTGCAGTAGTAGCTCACTGCTTGGGAAAGTAGAGTGTCGGGAGCCCATGGATTTGGAATCCGTGACGCCACCCGATTTGAATCGCTGCGCGCAACAAGAGCCATATGCCCAACACCACCACGGAAAGTCAAAAGATAGGGACAACTAAATAGAACCATAATATGTTGGACTTAAACGAGCGCGATGCGGCTCTGCTGCTCCATGAGTGCCAACACGTCGGCGGCGACGCGCGCCATCCGGTCCTTGGCCGTCGCTGCCATGCGGCCGCGGGGCATGTCGTCTGCGATCGACAACGTCCCGAGCTCAATGCCGTCCCTCGTGATGAGCGGCACGCCGTAGAAGAAGCGGATGCTCTCGGCGCCCGTGACGCGCGGCGACGCGGCAAATCGCGCGTCGACGCTCGCGTCCGAGACAAACGTAGGTGTCCGGCTCGAGAGCACCGCCAGGTTGAGAGCGCACGCCGGCGAAATCATGTGCGGCACGTTGTCGCCGAACGCTGCCTTGAGGATACACTGGCCCTTGTAGACGACGCAGACGTAGGCTTGGGCGACCTCGACGTCCTGCACGAGCGACTCGCACATGGCGTCCAGCTCCGAGTTCATGGCGTGGTTCACAAAGATGTTTTGCCGCAGCTGCTCGGCTTCCCGCGACGTTTGGAGCGAAATCTCCATCTGGATCGAGCTACGGCCCATCGGGGTTCGTGGCGACGACGCCGACACGGCTCGACGGGGCGGCGGCACTGCCGATGCCTTCGTCGGTGGTGGTGTTACGAACGTGGTTCGCGCTGGCGCCGGCATGACCATCGTCTTGGGCTGCGGCATGCTCGACCGAGTGGGCAGTGTGCATGACGGTGTCGGCCGCGGCGGTGCCTCGCCCTCGGAGCTCGAGAGACGCTCAAAGCGATTGCTGTGGTCTTGCGCCTTGTAGTCGCTGCCGCGCGGCGTCCGAAAGCCGGTCCAGAGATCGATCTTTGGTCGAGCTTTGGGCGTCGTCGTAGTCGTCGTTGTTGTCGTTGATGATGCGGCAGGGGTCTTGCTCTTTGGCGTCATGAACGAGTGGCGAAGGTTCCGAGGCGTCGTGCTCTCTTCGGGCAGGGACTGGAGTAGCTGCATGACATCGGTTTGGCAAAACGACTGGCTCGACCCGTCGTCGCTGAGCTCGCTAATGCGGTGCAAGAGCTCTTCGTGGGTTGCAATCTTGGAGTGTTTGAGCGCCTGCACGAGCTGCTTGCCCGCACGGCTCACGCGCTGCTGGCGGACGCTGGGTCGGCGCATCGAGGCGGTCGGTGCGACCGGTGCCGCGGCCGCCGTCAGCGACGTGGTCGCGAGCACCTTGTTGGTCAAAATGTACTTGGCCTTGCACTGCTCGTAGCAGACAAGGCACACGCGGAGCTCGAAACTCACGCTTGTCGCCGACTCGACGCGCTCAATGCTCGAGCACGCATGGCAAAAGTTGAGGCCGCAGAGCCGACAGACGACTTGCTTGCGGAGCGGCGTGCGCTTGAGACAGCGCGTGCACGCATCCGAGTGCAGCGCAGCGGCGTCGACCGTCGTGATGTGCGCCGCGAGGCGTCGCCGGACGACGGCGTCGGCGAGGATCGCAAGTCCTTTTGCAAGCCGGTGGAGCACATGGTGGCCAAACGCGCTTGGCGACGACGACCCGCTCGGTTTCGGGCCAAAATGATTGCCATAGAAGGCCATTTGCACACGGTCGGACCGGATTTCTTCAATGTGGTAGCCAAAGAGGAGCGACGTGACGTGCTGGAGCTTGCATTTCGCGTCCGCCATGCGGTACACATGCGGGTTGTCGAGCGACTTGAACGCGCGGAGCACCGACGACGGCGACGGCTGCTGCATCGCATCCAGAAACACGAGGTCGTGCCGCGTCCGCGAGAAGAACCGCTTGGTTTCAAACTTGGCGTGCTTGATCGCACCGGCCACGTTGCGCTTCCGGACGTCGTCGCTGCTCTTGCTGCTCGGGACGTCCGAGACGACGGTCGCGCTGTCGTCGTCGTCGTCGCGCATATAGGACGCGACGCCGGTGGCGAGCCGGCGCGCGGTCTTGACCTCGATGAGCTCGGCGCCAAAGACACGAGCCAGAAACGCTTGGAAGCCGAGCTGCGCGTCGCATGAAAAGACATTGAGCACCTCGGCGAGCGAACCCGTGATGAGCGTCGAGGCAAAGACCGTGTACGTGGCCGTCTCGGCGCTGTAGTCGGACCGGATCGGCGTCTCGTGGTGCCGAAGCAAGTCGTGCTGGATCGCAATCTGCTGGCGAACATGGCGCGTGATTGACTCGCCGCGCAGGAGGAGCGCGTCATCATTCATCTTCTTGGCGTCTTCGAGGAACGTGCGCGGCCACCGCTCCGAGTCGGTCGTCGTGGTCCGCGACTGCTGCGCCGCCCTGCGAAAGACCTCGCTGCCGTTCTGCGACCCATGAAACATCATGGTGATGGGCGCAAATCCAAGACTGGGCGCGGGATCTGGAGCGCTCAGATGTCGATGTGACTCACCGCAGGAAGATCAGTCCTCTTCGGCGTGACAGAGACGTTTAACAGATGTTTAACGCACTTTAACGCACGTCCGAGACGGCACCGGTGGTCGCATTCTCGTGGTGGCCTACCGAACCGGTAGGCCACCACGCAGCGTGAGAGCGCACCAATGTCTCGTTGCCGCACGGCAGTCGACCTCGCAGACGAACGGCACACTGCCACGCAGCAACGGCAGCGACAGTCCCTTTAACGTTGCGTCCAACGACTTTAACGCGTTCAACGTCAATCGCGAATGGAAAGTGCAAGATCACATCAAGGTAATAATGACCCTGTCGGAAAGGCGGTTGGGATCTCGCAGCCGTTGACGCTGTAGCGCACTGTCGAGTACGCTTGTCGATCCGACTGCACGAGAAATGGGATCAACGAGGACATGCTCATTGCCGCATCTGCTACGACGAGGCAGGGAGCCGTCGCGGGCCAGAGATCGCCGGCGTTGCTTGGTTATCACGCGCTCGAGGAGGGATCGCGCGTCGCAGCCGACTGTTGCAACTGCACCAGTTACCAACGCTGCTCCAAATGTAGGACTTGGTGTGAGCAATGTGGTGCTCTCCGGATCGACGCCACCGTTTCCGGCTCTTCTCGTGGGACTCGCAGTTGTACCGCCGTCGATGCTTGTGCGGCGATGGTCAGCAGCACGCAACGTCGGTGTCGTCGCGGCCCCTTCCCTGTACATACGCTGCGTCGTCGATCGGGCTGGCGACACGCTGGTGACGCGACGGCGTCCTTGCACCGGTCGTGCGTGTGCAGCGGGAAGAATATCGCTCCAGCAGTTGTAGCCGGTCGAGCGAGCCGGTGGCCGACGACGTCGTAGCAGCGAGCGAATAGTATCCAGGCTCAAGGGTTTTCTTCCCTTGTAGTTGTGCTGTCTATAGCTATTACAATACCATCCCGGCCACGTTGCCATGAGCCACCCGACACGCATGACGAGGCGGCACATGTCTACGACATGGTGCGCTGGTTTGCAAGACCCAAGTCCCAAGGAAGAGCGGCCAACGTGTCGTTTCTCAAGAGAGAAAAATGCTCATAAACCTTACACGACATTACTTCTGGCAACACAAAAACGTCCTTTTGCTGCACACGTAAACCTGGATTGGTTTCGTCCATCGCAGGACGCATTTCCATTGGTGCTCGCTATAAGAAGCAACGCGGCGTAGTCGGATCATTCATCGCTCGTCGTCTTTGGCGACGAGACGCTGAAAGACGACCGTTTGGAAGTCCGAAGGCGCCAAGAACCGCGCGGCTTGTTCCATGATCGCATGAGAAAGTATTGCAGATGGGCACGGGAACAGCAACCCGAGCTGGCCAATCGAATCGCGGCACATGGTCGGAACACGATGTGATTGGTGCGATCTGTGTGCAATAGCACACCCGCGCACCGCGATCACAGGTTGTCTGTCGACGAGGGTACCATATCAATCGCCCAAGACGCCCGCAGCGAGTACTATTCTCGTCCGCGTCTCAAAGACACCCGAGGATCGTCCTCGTTTCTTCTCGTGCCATTCAAATTCCTACTGAAAACCTTCTTGTCGGCGCTGCCGTCGGTTCTATTCCCTCGACGACCCCGACTGCAAGCGCCTTCAAGCCGCGCAAATGAGTGGCGTTCAGCCTGACACAAAAATGCACGCCATTACGCACAACGCATTCTATTGTCTTGATATTTCTATGGGAATCCCGTACTTTTATTCGATCCCATGTGCTTCGATGCTCGCCGAAATGACCTGTCACAATACATGGCCACGCGCAGCTGATAACCTCTGACATTGCATACTCTGTGGAGTACACAGCCTGGCCACAATCACCTCGACGCGAACAAAACAAAACGCGCGTTGGCCCGACACCTATTCGTGAGGCCCTCTACGACGACGCACCGACGCTCTTGGCCTCGCTCTCGCACAGAGTAGAGCCTCATGGACTACGACGCGGTGGTTCCGACACCCGGCTCGACAACGGCTACGGAGCTGCTTGGGACGGGTTGTTCACACTAGAGCGCACCTGCATTATCGTGCCGGTAATCGTCGTACCGGTCATGGCGCACTGCCTCGCATCGCGCTCACTTTGACGGCATTGCAAGAGGTCTGTGTCGGCGGTGTTAAACCTGTGCCATTGTATATCCTGTCGCAAATGATATCTGAAGCGAGTATAGAGTACGAGAGGTCTGGAGGCCCGAAGCTTTGGTGTGCAGTTTTTCGCTGCTTGTGGAGGTTCTATGCCGCTAGGGCCTGGGCCGAGTCAGAGCAGTCCAGGAATCGAAGAGTAACGCGCGAGGTCCGTCGTCCGAGGCCAGCAGCAGCATGGCGACAGTCGACGCGGTCCTCCCGGTCACCGCCACCAAGCCCTCGAGCAGCGCCGGCCGCGCCCCGTACCAGGTCAAGTTTACGTGCCTCGGCCACAAGAAGGCCATCTCGAGCCTCGAGTTTAGCAACTTTGGCAACCTCCTCGCCTCGGCCTGTACGTCGATACGAAGCTTGCGTCTGCATGGCCTCATCTCGGGATGTATAGCGCCCGACAAGACGGTCAAGATCTGGAATGCAAGCACGGGCGCGCTCGAGCAGACGTTGGCGGGCCACGAGCAGGGCATCTCGGACATCTCGTGGTCGGCAAACGCACGCTTCATCGCGTCGGCGTCCGACGACTGCACGGTCAAGATCTGGGACACGGAGTCGAGCGAGACCGTCTCGACGCTGCGCGGCCACGCCAACTATGTGTTTTCCGTCAATTTCAATCCCCAAGGCACGCTGCTTGCGAGCGCCTCCTTTGACGAGTCCGCGCGTCTCTGGGACGTGCGCACGGGCCGCACCGTGCGCATCTTGCCCGCGCACTCGGACCCGGTGACCGCCTCGTCGTTCAACCGCGACGGCACGCTGCTCGTCACGAGCAGGTACGCGCGTTCGTTGCCTGCACGGTGGCTCATCTTTGCATGCGTAGCTACGACGGCTTGTGCCGTATCTGGGACGTGGCGTCCGGGCAGTGTCTCAACACCCTCACGCTCTCGAACGAACTCAACGACGCGATCATTCCCGTGTCGTTTGCCAAGTTTTCGCCCAACGGCCGGTTTGTACTCGTGAGCACCCTCGATGGCCGCCTTCGGCTCTGGGACTTTGCCCGGAACCGCGTCATCAAGACGTACAGCGGCCACGTCAACAGCTCGTTCTGCGTCTTCTCGACGTTTTCGCTGCACGGTGGCCCGCCCACGATCATCTCGGGCTCGGAAGACAACACGATTGTGCTCTACGACGTCCAGACCCAAGAAAAAGTCCAAGTGCTCTCGGGGCACACGGACGCGGTGCTGGCGGTCGCTGCGCACCCGATGAAGGCGATGCTAGCGTCGGGCGCACTCGACAAGGACAAAACGATCAAGGTCTGGGAGCAAGTGAACCCGTCCTGCAGCAGCTAAGAGGCTGCTCTCTTTATTTTATGTGGTCGTCGATCGAGACCACCGTATGCGTTAACCCACCCTCCGTAATACTAATAACTCCAACTTTATCTCCTCGCCCGCGACCGTGAACCTGCCGAGGAATTCACGTCCCGACGGCATAAGACAGACCCGTAAGAAGCCACGAATATTAGAAAAGGTCGTCGGCGACGTTCATCCACTTGGTGAGGTACACGCACGTGGCCGGCGACACGATGTTGCCGTCCGCGCACTGCTCAAAGACGGGGCAGACACCGCACGGCGCCTCCGAGAGCCCGTCAAAGACGCTCACGTCGCGGCAGATCTTGTACGACACGTCGCGCATCTCCTACGCAAAAAAGACAGATGCTTATCAACACCACACATACGTGGATGCAAGGACAGCGTACGCCGTTGGCGAGCCGCGCCGTCCGGACTTCCTCAATGCGCTCGTCGTAAATGAGCGTGTTGACAATCGACATCATCTCGTCCGGGCCAAGCGACACCTTGGCGATGCCCGACTCGTGGACCTTGTCTGTGATTTGCTGCAGCGTCACGACGCCCTAGATGACTGATGAGGAGGCGACGAGCCTCGATCTTTCTACCTTGGCGCGGATGAATTGGCACACAAAGGTGCTCAGCGTATCGATAAAATCGTGGTCAAACTCTTGCTCGTTGTACCACGGACCGCCAGTGATGTCCCGCGACGGCACTAGACAAAGCATTTGCATGCAACGTCGAGAGCGCGCGCGAGGCTTTACCGAGGTCGTAGAGCATGTAGAGCTTCTTGTTCTTTTGGCTGATCGACTTGACGGCCTTGACGAGGTGGCGCGACTCGAGCGTGCGGATGATCTTGCGGATCGTCATCTATTGTCGTCCCATGCAGTGCAGGCCATCGCATGGACGTCGCCTCTACCTCGGGCAGATTGGTCTGCATCTTGATATCGCGCGTCCAGACGCCCTTGTTGCCCGACTTTTCGATTTCGTGCAACACAGCGCGGTGTTCGCCCCTACATGGCGCCGTCGCGACGATGGCCATCATGCCAGCAAGAAGCGTACGAGAGGCCTTGCATGCGCTCCGACTCTTCCTTGGTCACGAGCTGGTACAGCACGTTGCTGCCTTGCATCAAGATCTTGATGCGACTCTAGCACCGCAGCATGAGCGACAGGCCATGCATGCTGCATATGTCTACCTCGCCCATGAGCCGGTTGATGCAGACCGGCAGCTTGGCGTACTGGTCGCCGAAGCTCTTGCGCACGACGTCGTCGCCGATCGGCTCGGTCGAGCTCGCGAGGAGGTCCAGGAACGCCTTCTCGTGGTTCATGCTGGCGCGTTGTCGAAATCCAACAATTCCGCTGGCCGATGGAATACTGCCACAACTGATATTTGAAATATCAAAAGAAACAGGTTGAAACCGGCGCCAACGTCGGCCCAAGTCGCCTCCCTGCCGCAAGTGCGTCGACAAGGCGGACTAGTATGGACCATCGTGAGACGGACGAGAAGAGGACTAGCATGCAGTATAGATAGCACAATATATGTATAACACTCTACGTAGTTAGTCGCTTGGCTACACCTCGGTGGACTTGAATCGACCTTGGCGGCAACTTCAAGGTCCAAGTAAGACGTCTCCATCTCGCAAATCGACGACTCGGCCGTTGCAGCGACGAGCGATCGAGTGGCAACGCATCGCTCAATGTCAACATTGGTGCGAATCGTTCCCATGCTCGTCATGGGAGTGTCATCCGCCCCTCGGAAAGGCCACGCAGGACGAGCTCGGTTGCCAGACATTCACACCCAACGTCGTCTTGCCACAGCTTTCAATGCCCATCGAGGACGCTTCCAGGTCGTGCTACGAGCACCAAAGGCCCTACGGGTACCTTGATGGCGCATGAAAGTTAGCTCCTCCAAAAAATATCCAGTGCTCTGCGTGCCCCTGCGTCGCGGGTTCGAGTCCGTTTGCGATTCCAAGAGTCCATTTACACCCAAGACAAGACAGCTTCTTCGTCGCTTTCGTCTCATGACGCGCCCAAGCTCGATCAACGCCAAGGACGCGACGTGGAGGGGTGTGTGTAGGTTGGTGGGAGACCCTCTGGATCGGTGCCTCTCGCTCCTGATTGGTTAAAACTCGAGGAAATTTGTTGGTGTGGAGTCGTACGCTTTGATTGGTTGGGTCGCATTGCCCGAAATCCAAAAGCATGAAGTTCGCGTACGAGGTAGACGCGCCGATGGTCGTCGCATCTCATGGCGTCCGAGTAGTTTAGCCACCTCTGTGGCACCGTGTACACGCAAGGCAATGTCGTCTTCACGCCCGACGGCAACGCGCTCTTGAGTCCCGTCGGCAACCGCATCACCATGTTCGACCTCATCAAGTACCGTCCTCTCTGCCACGAGGCGCATTAGCCTCATCTCTTGCTGTAGCAACTCGTCGCGCACCTTTGCGTTCGAGAGCCGATCCAACGTGCATGCCATGGCCGTCTCGCACGACTCGCGCCTCTTGATTGCGGTCGACGAAGGTAGGCATAGATCGCGATTCGTGCTTGGCGTTGCATTCGATCGATGCCATGGCTAGATGGCCACTCGCTGCTCGTGAACCTCAAGAAGGGCATTGTCTTGTACCGCTTCAACTTCAAGGCGCCGGTCCGCGCGCTGCGCTTTAGCCCGGACGACAAGTACATTGCGGTCACTCATGGCGCCAAGATCCAGGTGTGGAAGGCGCCAGGTCTCAAGCGCGAGTTTGCGCCCTTTGTGCACCATCGTACGTATGGCGGCCACCACGGCGACGTGCTCACGGTCGAGTGGTCGCCCGACTCCAAGTTCTTCCTCTCGTCGGCCAAGGACCTCTCGGTGCGTCTCTGGTCGATCACGCCGTACCCGACGTTCACGCCCTACTCGTTTGTCGGCCATCGCGACGTGGTCATGGGCGCCTTCTTCTCCGAGGATGGCTCGACCGTCTACACGATCGGCCGCGACGGTGGCGCGTACCGCTGGGAACACAACTACGACGACATGGACGACGATTTGGACGACGACGACGAGACGCCGATCCTCGCCCGCGGCGTCAAGTGGTCGACCAAGCACAAGCACGTCTTCAAGATGGAGTACGCCAAGATCGACTGCGTCGCGTTTCACGCAGCCTCGAGCCTCCTCACGGTCGGGTTTGGCAACGGCACGTTTGGCCTCTACTCGCTGCCCGACTTTGCCGACATCCACACCCTCAGCGTGACGCAGCACCGACTGAGCTCGGTTGCGATCAACGCGTCGGGCGAGTGGCTCGCGCTCGCGTCGCAGACGCTCGGCCAGCTCCTCGTGTGGGAGTGGAAGTCGGAGACGTATGTGCTCAAGCAGCAAGGCCACTTTTTCGACCTAAACGCGCTCGCGTACTCGCCGGACGGCCGGCTCCTCGCCACCGGCGCCGACGACGCCAAGCTCAAGCTCTGGGACACCACGTCGGGCTTTTGCTACGTGACGTTCCACGAGCACCAAGCGCCGGTGACGGGTGTCGCGTTCACAGCCAACGGCCAAGCGGTCGTGAGTTGCTCGCTCGACGGCACGGTCCGCGCGTTCGATCTGAACCGGTACAAGAACTTCCGCGTGCTCACAACGCCCAACCCGGTGCAGTTTTTGTCGCTGGCGCTCGACACGAGTGGCCAGATTGTGTGCGCGGGGACTCTGGATCCGTTCCACATTTACGTCTGGTCGCTCCAGACCGGTCGCCTCACCGATGTGCTGAGTGGACACACGGCGCCCGTGACGTCGCTCGCGTTCTCGCCGTCGACGACCGAAGAGCTGCTGCTCGCGTCTGATTCGTGGGACCACACGGTGCGCGTCTGGAACGTGTACCAGAACAAGCCGTTCGTGGAGCCGCTCGCGCACTCGTCCGATGTGCTCGCGGTCGCGTTCCGCCCGGACGGCAAGCAGGTGTGCTCGGCCACGCTCAACGGGCAGCTCAACCTCTGGAACATTGCCGACGGCGAGCAAGTCGGGCAGATTGACGGCCAAAAGGACGTCTCGGGTGGTCGCCACTCGACCGACGCGATCACGGCCAAGAACAACACGCGCTCCAAGCACTTTACGTCCGTGTGCTACTCGGCGGACGGCTCGGTCGTCCTCGCCGGTGGCCAGTCCAAGTACATTTGCATTTACGAGGTTGCGTCGCGCTCGCACTTGCTGCTCAAGAAATTTCAGCTCACGCACAACCGCAGTCTTGAAGGTGTGCTCGACAAGCTGCACACGGCCGAGCTCACGGAAGCCGGCTCGAAAAAGTCGCTGGACCTCGACGTCGACCCGATTGACGGCCAGGTGACCAAGGACAACCAACTCGTGGGCGCCAAGCGCGCGGTGGACCCCGGCGCCCGCCGCAAGCACCTCGATATCTTCTCTAAGGCCGTGCTCTTCTCGCCGACGGGTCGGTCGTGGGCGGCGGCGACGACCGAAGGCCTCCTCATTTACTCGTTGGACGAGACGTTGACGTTCGACCCGTTCGATTTGGACGAAGACATTACGCCCGACACAATCCGCGCCACGCTCGCGCGCCACGAGTTCACCAAGGTACAAAACACGCGTCCGATCGATCGGTGACTCTAAGAACGGTTAGGCGCTGCTCATGTCGCTCCATTTGAACGAGGAGCCGTTGATTCGCCTGTGCTTGGAAAGCGTCCCGAACGACAGCATCGTGCTCGTCGCGCAGTCGCTGACCGACACGTACCTCAAGCGTCTCCTCACGCTGCTGGCCAAGGGCCTCGGCGAGAGCCCGCACTTGGAGTTCTACTTGAGCTGGAGCCTCGCGATTCTGAACGCGCACGGCCCGATGCTCCAGGCGCACTCGGTCGAGTTTCTCAGCACGCTCCGTGCGCTCCAAAAGAGCATTGTGATCCACTTTAGCGAACTCTCGCGCGTGTACGCCTTTGTCGTTTGGTGTTGATACTTATGTATGTGCATGGCTACTAGGTGCAACGACAACCAGTACACGCTCGACTACCTCCGCAACTTGAACCAGCTCCAGATCGCCCAAGCCGCGTCCGCCGACAGTGCCATGGAGTAGATGCATTGTTGCTGGTGTAACCTACCGTTGCGAGCTCCAGCGCGAGCCCACGACGACCGTATATATAGAACACACTGTGCATGATGACTTTGGCTGTGTGTTGGTATTAGTCTTGATGGCAGACACGTTACCTCTGCATGGGTCCAATAGACAGCCAGCCATGGTACACCACCGTGGCTCTTGTTGGGAATACGCTGGTCGTCTTGGATGTACCGGTCACGTTAGCCGAGGAAGGCGAGCTCGTTGCTGCGTGATTGGCATCCGAGGACTGATCAGGCGCAGGTCGATCGGAGGACCTCTTGCAAAATGTTGCAAGACTCGACATCGCAAAATCAGATAAGCTTACTGTAGAAAGTTGCTAGCTGGTGGCATCTGGGTACACCGCCTGCCACGTCATCCTCCCGTCCTTTCTAAGCCAAAGCGGCAGTGAAGGACGCAGGACCTTGCGCCGCTAGAGACAACCTGCGAACCTCCGAGCCTTCCTCGACGCGGCTTGTTGCATCTCGCGTTGCGTCATGCACAGCGACTGGACTCTGGTGCTGTGCCATGCGGCAAGCGGCGCGACAGGCGGGGTAGCAACCGGTATCCTCCGGATAACGGATTGACACGACGACGTTGGCCACGTAGACAGCAAGAAGCGAGGTGCGAGATGGACCCGTTCCAAGCGCGCTTGAGCCAGCGGGCGATGCGCAACCCGTACAAGCACGACGAGGACGCGCTGCCCGTGCGCATCAAGACGGCGGTCGGCGCGTTCACCTTTGTCTGCTTTCTCTTCTTCGTCTTGACGCCGAGTGCCCCGAGTGGCGGCGAGCCCGGGCGGGCGCTGCGGCAGGTCGCGCTGCCGCCGACGCCGCTCGCGATCATGACGTTCAACTTGCGCTTTGCGGGCGCCAACGACGGCTACAACAGCTGGGACTACCGCAAGCAGCACGTGTACGACCTCGTGAACCGGTACCATCCCGTCATCATGGGCACGCAAGAAGGGCTCAAGGACCAGCTCGCTGAGCTCCACGCCAACTTGGCAGGCAACTACGAGCGCTTTGGCGTCGAGCGTGAGCCCAACGGCGAGTTTGAGCAGATTTTTTACGACGCCGACGTCCTCGAGCGCCTCGACGGCGACAACTACTGGCTCTCGGACACACCCGAAGTGCCACACGAGACGGCATGGGGTGCGCCGTGCGTGCGCATGGTCACATGGTGTCGCTTCCGCCTCAAGGCGACGCGCCAAGAGTTTGTCTTTATCAACACGCAGTTTGACCACCGCAGCGAAGAGTCGCGCATCAAGAGCGCTGCGCTCATCTGGGACCGCATCCAGGCCTTGGACGATTCGCTGCCGGTCTTCGTCGTCGGCGATTTCAACACGTACCGCCACACGTCGGTCTACTCGTACTTGACGACCGAAGCCGGCGCGAACCTCGCCGAGGCGTGGCAGACGGCCGACCACACGATCGGCGATGTCTCGTACACGTACCACGGGTGGGCCGGCGTCGACAACGACGGCGAAAAGGTCGCCGACGTCGTCCGCGCCGAGAACCACATTGACTGGATCCTGTACCGGCCGCGGACCCTCAAGGTGCTCTCGACCGAAGTCATCACCGAGTCGCGCGATGGCCGGTACCCGTCCGACCACTACCCGATCCAGGCCTCGCTCCTTCTTCCCAACGTCGACGTCCTCCCGGCGCCGCGTGCCCACTAGAGAGGTTGCTCATAGACAATAATGTACACGCACGTCGGTCGTATCTATATGGGGTGGCGTGGCGTATGTAGAGGGGACGCGTCCACTAGTAGCAGCTGAGGGGCACACCTGGACCGTGCTGGAACTGGACCGTGTCCAGCGCGACCGTCTCGTAGCGCGTCGTAAAGTCGCCGAGGATCGAGAGACCGCTGAGCTTGGAGAGGACCTCGAGAAATTGACATTGTGACGGGGGCGTCCACGGCAGCAGCGTGTTCTTCGGGTCTTGGCGCCACCCCGCCGACTCGAGCAGTGGAATCGTATACGCTTGCGTGGCGCCCGTGAAGGGCGGCGAGTTACTTTGGGCCCACGCCAGCCGGACGCCCGCGTTGAGATTGCACGTCGCGCACTCGAGCAGCACGAGCGGCGCCTGCGACGGATCGTTGCGTGCGGCAAAGTCGCCTTCGGACGCGGCGAGGACGAAACTGAGGACGCCACCGTACGCGTACCACTGATTCCCGAGAAACTTGGGCGGCGCCGCAAAGTACCAGAGCACGAGGTCACTCCCGCTTTGCGGGTTGGTTTGAATCATGGCCTCTATTCAGAACAGATAGAGATAGTGACACGTCATGGCTCTCGCACCGGTGGCGTATATGTAGTAGCTCAGGAGCCCGCGGCTTGTCGGGTCAAAGATGGGCTAATACCATGTCATACAGGTACGGTAGCATGCGATGTGCAGCGTGTTCGTGGACGTACCTGCGTCGCCTGCTGGTTTTGAATGATTCGCCAGCCGTCCGAATCAAAGTAGAATTGACTCGTCATGACGGCCACATCGTGCGAGACGGTGATGATGCCGGGTGATGACGTGGCGCTGCCGTCGTGGACCGTGTACGTAAACTCGGCAAACTACGCGGACCATATAGACAATGTTGTACACTCGAGTACCTTGGTGTCGAGCGGCGACGACGAGAACGGCCTCGAAAACACGATGCGCGCCTTGGAACCGGTCACGAGGCTCGGCGTCGACGCCACCGGGCTCGCGGCCTTCTTCGGGTCGTAGCCGTAGTCGCTATAGACCTGCGAGAGCTGATACACCGCGCCCTGCGTCGGGAGCGACGTGATGGCGTAGGACAATTGGCGGCCACTCGTGCTGTAGCCCTTGAGCGCCACGACGACATCTTGGCCGGGCGCCACGTGCACCATCAAGTGGCGCGCAACGGGTGTCGTCGTCCTACACAACCACGCGTCTTGATCCTCTTTCCACGGCAGCGGCGAAGACTACTGTGCGCAGCTCAGCGCAGCGATGGCTAACACACAGAGCGCCGATCGGACGAGCATGTCAAATGGGTCCAAAGCTATTCCGGGTCGGTCACGAAACCCACAACTCCATTTTATGGCCAATAAGATGCTATAAGATTTCTTGGAGGCGGACGTACTCGCGAGCCAGCTCGAGTGGCTCACGAGATGACGAGCGTCTCGTCGTCGTCGTAGCCAAAATCGGTCTTGTATGCATCAAAGATGCGCTGCAGAGCGGCTGCGTACGTGGCGTGGTACGCGAGGCAGTCGTCGTCGGTCGGATCGTCCTTTTGCTCGACCTAATTTCGAGAAGACAATGTGTCCTTTTCCGGTGCCACGACACGATATTACCGCAATCGGCGTGCCGTAGACGATGCCCATGCGGCGCTTGCCCGCGAGACGGAGCGGCACCCACGTGCACCAACGGCCCCAAAAGAGAAGCAGAGGCACTTTCAACACTTGGAGCACCGTCGCGCGCAGTCCTTTCGGCGGGTTCCACAAGCTACGCCCGCCTGTCATCATCGATTGTCGATGGTACACGACACGACGTACTTGTACATCCACTTTTCGCCAAACACAAACGTTGGCACGAGGTCGGCGCCGTTCTTGATCGCGAGTTTGATAAACCCGAGACGCTTCTTGAGCACGAGTTCAGTCTACCGCGCGCACGACAATAAGACAATCGAGTCGAATCGACCGCGCATCCGAAGACCTGCTTGATGTTGGGGTTGGTCAAGAAGATTTCTTTCGACCCGCCCGGGTAGACTACGATGCTGAGCTTCTTGTCAAGGACCTTTTGCGCCGTCGAGCGCGACGCGTCGACAGCGCCGAGCCTACCAAACGGATCGTTCGCTTCTTCTTCTTGTTGCGTGCAAACAGACGTACCAGAGGCACAGCTCCCGCCCGAGGGGCACGTAGAACATGGGTGTCGCGCCGAGCGCTAGTACGTTCATCACGATAAGGGCAAGGGTCGTCGACCTACCGCGGACTTCAATGCCAGGATGCACTTGCTCCCAGTTGCCAGCGTAGCACGACATGCGCGAGAGCACGAGGATGCCGTGCGGATGAAAGCCAAAGATGTACTGCAACATCTTGCATGAGGATGGCTCACAGTCGGCCGATGCTCCTACCTGCTTGGCCGCATCGAGTTCTTGTTCACGGACAATTTCAAGGCTAATCGATCGCTCCATGCGTGCATAAGCCAATGGACAAGGAACGTACCCAACGTATTCACACATGAGCTTCCAGAGCCAGTGCGTGCGGAGGCCATCCCACTGCATGCCGCCGGTCGCCGGCGTGAGCTTGCGGTGCGCGCCGTTGAGATACGACGGCAGGTAGAGCGCGATGACAGCGGCGCTCACATAGCCATAGCCAATCTAATTCGACGCAAATTGTGTCCCGTGTCGTATCGGCAATTGTCGTCGTACGGCGTAGAGGTAGTAGAGGAACGCGACTGCGACCCAAAACCACAAGAGGTAGTGGATCGAGACACAGGCCACCGAGAGCTGCAAGAAGGTGCTACACAACGCATGTGGATACATTGTCATTCAAACGAAAGACATTCGTATGGCGTACCGAATCGCCTCGGGAAAGTGCGGGAGCACGCGCTCGGTCGGGAAGCGCACGACGGTCGCCATCGGCAAGTTGCAAAATGACACACGTCTTTTGGGCGTCGTATCCGGACGAACCAGCGCCACCTGCTGCGTTGGCTAATCGCACGCCACCAAATCCGAGTTGACGCGACGAGCGATGGACGCGTCCGACAAACGTCCTTGCTTGTCCTTGGCCACACGCACGTGTAGCGAGTACACGTCGAGGACGCCACGCGGCGGGAACCCGGCGCTCGAGGCCTGTTTATGGCCCATATTCTGTTTCGTTGACATGCACTGTTTGGTAATCCTGGTGGGTTTCGCATCAGAAAGGTCACGTCGAGGCTCGTCGCACGCCAATCCCTTCGTTCGCCACGAACCGACAAGGGAAGCCGATGGAAGAAGCCGCGAGGCCATCGATTGCGCGTCAGGACAATCCTAGGAAGACGTGATACGCTGCTTGTGTACGTGGCACAGCGGCGCAGTCCTTGGTGAAAGGCAACCGCTATTGGCACCGGGCCACAGACCACGAGAGTCGTCTGCATCCATGCACATACATATGTCCACCATGTTTCCACGGCCTTGTGCTGGCGGCGGTAACGAGGAGCGCAGAACCTACAAGCTGGGGTTGTTGTGGACGCATGGGCAAGATGGTTTCTCGACTCCGCCGCAGCGGCAGAAGCGTGCAATCGGCTCGCTGCCAGCGCGTGAATCTATCTAGTCGACTGTCCTGTATTACTGTTTGTCTAACGTACTGTGCACGTGTCATCCTCGTAGATAGGCTTCGCAACACGATGTCAATCCATTTGATGTCAATCATTCGTCCATTTGATGTCAATCATTCGATCCTGCGCCACACCTTGAGGTGTATTCGCACGATGCGTGGTACTGCCTCGCCCACAACGTCTTTTGATTGGCCACTACACCGGCAAATGTACTTGTTTATGTGAATTACTGCGTTGCCTCTACGGCGATTATCCGGTTTCTCGGTGCAACCTCGGCATGCAACACCCTCGCGACCACGCGACCGACGCGGTACATGACCCTTCTACCTACCTTCGTCTCTCATGATGAGCAGTCGCATGCGGCCATGCGACGTAGCGTCGGCCTCGTTGAAGCCCAAGACGTGTCCGAGGTTCGACCGTACAATGCCTGCCTGTCCGCCTCCATGCGAGTCCGATGCTAGGTGATTCGCCCGACAACGCTCGTGGCCGCTGCTAGAGCCGGTAACGTTGACCTTGTCGCACGACTCTTGAACGCTGGCGCGGCCACCGAGACCGTGGACGACGCGGTGCGCCCACATGCAATCCATCATCGTCTCACAGACAGAACGACGGTGCAGGGCGTGACACCGCTGCTGGCGGCGACCAAGCGCGGTCATCGCAGCATCGTTCGCCTCTTGCTCGAGCATGGCGCCAATGTCACCGCAGCGTCGTCGGTCAGCCATCGACCATCCACGTCATCTACCATGACACGCTATTGTAGCTGGTGGCAGCCGCCACACGCGGCGACGTTCCGATGTGTACGCTCTTGCTCAACCACGGCGCCGACGTCAACGCAGGGACAGAAGAGGTGCTTTCATACGAACGTCCTCGCGCTCTCATGGGAGGCTAGACGGCACTGCACATGGCCGTGCGCTTGGGGCATGTCCCGCTCGCGCAGCTACTGCTCGACTACAACGCCCACGTGGACGCTCGACGCCCGCATACACCTCTCTTGCTCGCCGTGGAGCGCCACCACGTGGAGATGATCAAGCTCCTCCTTCGCTACGGCGCCAACCCGACGCTTGTCTCGGAGGTACTTTTTCATTTTTGAAAAGATTTCGGAAGGAAGATATCGGTGAAGGCGGTGTCGCCACTGCACATGGCCCTTCAAAAGGGCTACATTGGCCTCGCGATGCTGCTGCGGCACTTGGCGCCGCTGCATTTCTCGGTGCGAACGACGCGCATGGGCCTCATCGAGCGCCTCTTGTACCGCGATGGGGCCGCGTTAGATCGGTACGAAGACGATGTGCACGTGTCCTTTGCGGACCGGAGCGACACGACTGCGATCTTGTTTACGGCCGTGCACTGCAACAACGTGGCGTTTGCGCGGCGTCTCTTGTCCCGCGGTGTCGACCCCAATGTCCCCTCGACGGTACTACTACTGCTCGTTCGCATCCGGGTCCATGCACGGCGGCTGTGGACGTGTGCGATGTGCTCGATCGAGACTTGAACGTGACGTAGGCCGGGTTTACCCCGCTTTTGCTGGCCGTGGCCCGCAACTTGCTTGAGATGACCAAGGAGCTTTTGGAGGCGAACGCCGATACGGAGCTGCCCAACCACGTAGACTCGCATTTTGATGTATGGAGATGCATGCAGTACTTAGTATGGAATGCTAGGCCGGCGTCGTGCCGCTCTGGGCCGCTTATAACAACAACGACTTGGCCATGACGCGCTTGCTACTCGAGTACGACGCGGATCCGAATGCGTCGTTTATGGTACTACGCAAGTCGTTGGCGCCATGTCGTTGAATGGACTGTTAGGGCGGCTCGCTCTTCATTTTGGCGGCCAAGCAGCGCCGGCTACCGTATTTGGAGCTCCTTCTGTCGTCCCAGCGCGTCGACGTCGACCAAATCGATAGCGTACGTCGCCTGCAATCGTTTGAACGATGGCGATGGAGGTGCTAGAACGGCCGCACCGGGTTTGAGTATGCGTGCGTGTATGGCGACCTCGACTGCGTCAAATTGCTGGTGCGGCACGGTGTTCACAACTCGGCGGCGGTTCGAGACCGGCAAACGACAGCATTTCTTCCAAGCTCTTTTGTTGCTAGGAAGGCAAGACCTTGCTCATGTTTGCGGCCAAGTACGGCTCGGTGCCGATCGTCCGCTACCTCCTCCCACTCTCCGATGTCAACGCCATTTCCAAAGTACTGCATCGCTTGAAGGACACTATGTTGTCGTACAACATGTGTCTAAACAATGCTATAGAATGGGTACTCGGCCGTCGCTGTCGCCGCCTACTACGGCCACTTGGAGGTCGTGCGCCTTCTTGTTGCCCACGGAGCGCTACTCGACCCGACCGACAAGGTGTCGAATTGAGTGGCGACGTCGTCTCTGGTGACCGACCGCGATAGGACACTGTGTTTCCACTGCGCATCGCGGCCCAAGAAGGCCACGCCCGCGTCGTCGAGTACCTCGTGCCTCTCTTACGTGACGTCGACCGACGCAACTGCGTACGACTCTCGAATTCTAGCATGAGATTCTGAGAGCGCCTAGTTTGGCGACACGGCCCTGTACATGGCGACACAAAACCAGCACGTCGACGTCGTGCGGTGCCTCTGCAAAAAGGCCAACGTCAACTTGGCCATGGAGGTACGAGACGCTCTCTAGTACGAAAGGACAACGCGACTAGGACGGCTCGACGAGTCTTTGGCGCGCATGCTTGGATGGCAGCACCGAGATTGTGGACCTCCTGGTGCAGCGCGGCGCCGACATCAACATGGCCTCCTTTGTACGTCGATGGCGTAGAAGGCAAGGTGTGCACATTGAACGATAGGACGGGAATCGACCGCTCGTGACCGCGTCCGAGAAGGGCCATTTGGACGTTGTCCGTCGTCTTCTCGAAGATCGCAACCGCGTCGACATCGATGCGACCAACCAAGTACTACGTTCGCCACTGCGTCCTCAGTTGTCGGAGCGTCGACGGCGTGTAGGAAGGCAAGACGGCGCTGTATCAAGCGAGTTGTTTCGGCCATGTGGAGATTTGCCGCGCGCTCTTGAAGGCGCACGCGACCGTCACCGTGGCCACGACGGTGTGAAGCTCAACCCCATTCTTTTTTGAATTTGAGTTTATGTGTAGAAGGGCGTGACTCCGATTGTGATTGCGATTGTCGTCCAGAACGCCGACGTTGTTGAGCTCTTGCTGCCCCACGTGCATATCAACGAGCCACTTCTCGTACGCTCCTTGTCGTTGATGTGGCGTTGAGTTGAGACCAGGGTTCAACGCTCTTGCACATGGCGATCCAGCGACGCAGCGTACGCATCGTCGAGGTCCTTGTTGCCCACGGCGCCGACCTCGACGCACTCGACAAAGTGATTACATGACCAAACTCAAACCATTCTCAAAAGATCTCTAGGACGGCCGGTCGCCGCTCGTCTTGGCAGCCCACCTCGGGTCGGCCGAGATCCTCCAGCATCTGGCCCCCGCTGTGAGCGACATTGACGCCGTGTTTCAGGTAGCTCGAGCGATGCTGAATGTATCATATTCATGCTGCGTAGGACGGCTACACGGCGCTGAGTGTCGCTGTCGAGCAAGGACATCTTGGCGCCGTGGAGGCGCTTGTCCAGCACGGCGCGAGCCTCTCTGTCGTGACTGAGGTGCTCGTCCTCATCCACAAAACGATTCCACCATTGCCCACTAGATTGGTTTGACGCTACTGCATCTGGCGAGTTTTTCAGGCTGGCGAGATGTCGCCGCGTACCTCTTGGCGCGTGGCGCCAATGCGTTGGCCACGGATACGGTGCGTCTTTCCGTCGAGTGGGAGACTAAAAAACGTACAATACGTCCATAGATTGGCGGACGTAGTATCACGTATGCAGTCACAAATGGCCACGCCGACGTCGTCGCTCTCTTGTTGCCGCACGTGCACGTCAACGCTATGGCACTCCAGACCCTACCCCTAGATAGCACCTCATCAACCCCACTAGGAAGCATCGACCCGTCCCGTGGTCGTCGTCGCCAACGATACGCCCCGCTTGTGCATTGATATGCAGGTACGACGTGCTGTGGACAATATTGTCATCATCGTCAACGGGATTGTCTGTTGTAGAATGGGTTTAGTCTCTTGCACTTGGCCGTGGCACAACAGCACATGGCGACAATGGCCGTGTTGTGCGGCACCGAGACGTTGGATGTCAACCAAAGAGACCCGGTACGACCAAGTGGCATCAAGGTACTCGAGTTCACAGAGGATAACTATGTATGGACTAGGTGTTTGGCCTCACCGCACTGCACGTTGCGTGCGCGTGTGGGCACGTGGAGGCACTCCAGCTGCTCCTCGCCCACCCCCGCGTGTCTCTCAACGCCCTCGATACGGTATACTATTTGCCCATGGGCATGTGGCGGTGGACGAGGCCATATATTGTAGGCCGGCCGCACCCCACTGATCGTCGCGTGTCAGTATGGCCATTCCGCGGTTGTCGCGTCCTTGATGTCGACAAGCCGCCTCCACCGGACCACCGAGACGCTGGTGCGTTGCTCATGCTCAATAAGCTCTAAGTGTGTTTGAAGGGCGGCACGACGGCATTTGCAATGGCGGTAGCGTACGGCCACAAGGAGATTGCAGCGCGCATGATCCTCGAACACGACGTGGCCGTCCAGATTGCACACGCTGCACTATAACCGAATCAATCGCATGTCAAACTCGTCTTCTTGCGTGGTGTCGAGAGTTGAGACAAATGTGCCTTTGAGAAAATGCACAGCAAAATACCATGTATGTTTGATGGACAATGTGTCTCAAGCAATGACGAGGGTTTCGTCCTCGTCGTAGCCAAAGCTCGCCTTGTACGTTGAAAAGATCGTCTGCAGACTCTCGACGTACTTGGCCTGGACCGCGGCGACCTCGTCGTCGGTCGGGTTGTCGCTTTGCTGGACCTACTCGCAGCACTTTCATTAAATGAATCAAATCAAAAACAAATCATACGGGGATCGGCTTGCCGTACACGACGCCGAGCTTGCGCTTGCCCGTGAGCTGGTACGGCATCCACGTGCAGAAGCGGCCCCAGAAGAGTAGCATCGGGACCTTGAGGTACGTCAAAAACGCCTCGGTCACCGACTTGGGCGGGTTCCACATGCTATAGAACATCCTCCATGATCGCAACGCTGTCGACGACAAAGGTATCGACATACTTGTACATCCACTTTTCGCCAAAGACAAAGATGGGTACGAGCTCGACGCCGTTCTTGATGGCGAGCTTGATGAACCCGAGGCGATGGTTCAACACGAGCACTGTCTACAGTATGTCCGTCTCAAGTTTCCGTCGGTTCGAGTCGAGGCATTTACCTCCTTTGAGTTGGGGTTGGTCTGGAAGATTTCTTTCGAGCCGCCCGGGTACACGATGATGCTGAGCTTGTTGTCGAGGACCTTTTGGGCCGTGGCCCGCGACGCATCGACCGCGTCGAGCCTAGAGACGCAGTGCTCGGCCATCGTGTAGCAGACAATAATGTGTACCAGAGGCAGATCTCGCGGCCCAACGGGACGTAAAACATGGGCGTCGCGGCGAGGACTACGCGACGCATGCGATGAGCTGCCAGGCACATGTGAGTGGCATGGCGCGCACCGCGGGCGTGGATGCCGGGGAAAAGCGCATCAAAGTTGCCCGCGTAGTACGAGAGCCGCGAGAGCACAAGGATGCCGTGCGGGTGGTAGGCAAACACATACTAATACGTACGCTTCGGATCAAACTGTGCGATCCGAATCGCAACCCACACACCTGCTTGGTCGCATCGAGCGCTTCTTCACGGACAATTTCCATGCTAGAAAAGACCATTGGAACGTCGGCACCTTGTCCTCTTCCAAGCGTACCCGAGGTATTCGCACATGAGGTTCCACATGCCGTGGTTGCGCAGGCTCGTCCACTGCTTCCCGCCCGTCGCCGGCGTCACCTTGCGGTGCGCGCCGTTCAAGTACGTCGGGAGGTACAGCGCGAAGAGCGCTACGGCCACGTAGCCATAGCCCATCTAAATTGTATATGAGGATAAGATCTGAGAGACAACTCAAATGCGCCTATTGCTGTCGTACGTAGTAGAGATAGACGAGAACGGCGGTGGCCGCCCACATCCACTGCAAGTAGTGAATCGAGACGAACACAATCGTATACTGGAGCGCGACGCTACTCAATGTACGATCTCAGTTGTTACGTGTAGTAGAGGAGGAAGGAGAGCGCACCGAACACTCTCGGGCAACTGCGTGAGCACGCGCTGCGGCGTGTACCGAAGAGCCATGCTAGGAAGGCTTGCTAGGAAGGAATCGAAAATGAACCGCTCATCAAGCAGCAGTAGATCGCGCGTGACGTCACATGGCGTCTAGCCAATCCCGTGAGAGGATGACGCGCCGGGGAGTCCAGGCTTACGGACCACTGGCGCCAGCAAGCCAATCAAAACGCTGTTTCGTCAACGCAAGTGCCATACGTCAACGGGTGTACACCTCTGAGACTTGATATTGCACTGCCGCCATGCGACAAGAGACCGCAACGTGAACTCGATAAACCTGTGATATATGATATTCAACCAAACTCGATACACCACGTGGTGGCAGCAGCAGAATACTGCATCCATTGATATACTGTATATTTGCATATCATATCCTCATAAAACCTTTGTAATCGTATATATTGGCTGGCACGGTGCCAGCCAATATACCGGTATATGCAGCTGGTACCGGTACGGTGCCAGTGGCACCGTACCAGCTGCCGTACTCGCAAGTCGTGGCAGTCGCGACACTACGGCGCTGTCAAGACCTCGTGCCTCAGAGCTAGAGTCACCTAGTTTGCTGTGCTGTGGTCGATTTTCACGTACGATCGAAATGCTGGGAAAGAGCGCGGGTCATGAAAAGGTTGATTTTCGAGTCATTAACCTTGCGTTGACGGTCTCGCGTTCATCGCTTCATACATTAGCTCGTCGTCTTCGTCCATCGTGTCGCGCTTGCACTGAACAATCACCAGTGCCCAAAAGATAAAAAAGGCCAGCACAGCGAGGGTCAGCGCAGAGTACGCGAGAGCCTCCAAGAGCTGCTTCAACAAGCCACCAAATTGCGCTTGGTAGCACAGCCGCAGACGACTTACCTTTTCCATTTGGCTCAAAAAGTAGCGACGGCACGCCTTGGCTTCCGGATACGTCAGGAGATACGGGTACAGCTTGGGGCTGGGGCTCATGATGCACATGGCGGCCGTCGCGTCAACCTTGGTCAGCGGACAATGCTCGTGGACCCAGTCGCCGAAGGATGACGTGTCGTCTGGCGCGGCCACTGCGTGACGGCAGCCATCGCACGCGACATCGATGGACCGCTCGGCGGCGAGCACACTGGCATTCACCTTGTCGCAAAATTGCAACAGGGTCGTCGCGTCGTCGATGGGGACGCCAAAGAAGGTCGGTGCGTTGAGCAGCGCCTTGATGCGAAACGTGTCTGTCTTGTTGTCAAAGATACGCGGTTGGACGAGTGTCTGCCGCAGAGGAAACGACGTGCAGTACGCCTTGCCCTCGCGCGCACAGTAGGTCTCTTCCAAAGCATACCGAGCATTGTACTCAGCGTCGCCATAGGAGCAGCCCGAGTACGTCGGGGTTAAGTACCCAGAATCGTAATAGAAATAGCCGGCATCCCATGCAGTAAAGTTTGCCTCCATCGCGGCCACCTCTTTGGCAGTGGACTCGACCCATTCCGACCGCGGCCAGTAGACAGAGCTCGTCGTCAAGAGAGCAGGGAGGCCCATGAGCGCGCAGAGGCCGACAGCACCAAAAAGCACAAGCAGCAGCGGGGTCGTGGACGCCAATTTGTTGGCGCGGCGCACGTGCACGAGGCTGGCGACAACGAGACAGAGACCGACGCAGCCACCGGCGATCGCAGCGTCAGCAAGCGGGACGAGCGGCCGCAGAAAGCTCGAGAGGAGGACGATCGGCACCGCGACAAAGTACAGCAGCGCAAGGCCACTCCACGCAAGGTACGCGCGGATCGGCCACGTGACGAGGTACATGGTGTCGAGGCGTATTGCAAACTGCAGAGGCAGTAGAACAGGTGGGGTAGAGTGGTACCTCTCGAGTCCAACGGAGCTGGCCACGTGTGACACGGACCCAGAAGCACATGACACCGGTAGCTGACACCGGTAGGCTCCAGGGTACCGGTAGGCTCCATGGGTAATAGGCTCGGACAGGCGGAGCCTTTACAGCAAGGGCCTTTGTGTGTACTTTGTACAAGAGTTGGTACGTGGCAGGTGCTCTAGCCACTTGCAAGGGCCACGAAGAGCCAATAAGATCTTGATAATACGTTGGACCTCCAACGAGATCGTGTCCATGGACCAAAGCGAGGCGAAAGCAATTGGCGAGCGAATCTAGCGAGCTGATGCTTCGAGCGACGAAGACGCGGCTCGTCAGTGCGTCAGACTGGAAGTGTCAAACGCACCGAAATGACTGGCCACGCTCAACAAATACTTGGACAGTAGCGCTGGCGCCTGCTGGGTCACGTGTTGCGCTGGAAGAGAGAAGACGTCCTTGCCAATGTTGCCGCCACCCGCTTCTTTGCTCTGTCCGAGGCGCCCCGTTTTTGTAGGCCGCACCAAGATCACGTTGCCGAGCGTCCTGCAGCGCGACCTCCAGTCGTTGACGCCGCCTCAGTCACAGGCGTCTCTCGGGGACCTCAACAAACTGCGTAGCTTTGCCGCCGACGGCGAAGCCTGGAAGGAATTTACACAGCGTGTCGCCATGGACCTCACCCGCGGCCACAGCGCCGGGCGACTACAGAAAGGAGTTTGCTACTCTCTACGTATGCGAACGCTTTCCAACAACGATGATAACGCGAACTACCAAGGCCATAAAATTTATGGCCTTGGTACCGTGCAATCCACATGTCTACGATGGCAGCGAGAGATTTCTTTCATCAATTATTTCCGAAGATTGTCCACAGATCATCCAAACTGACGTTAACCCATCGGCGCCCAATGCCATTGGATGAGTCACATCACTTGAAACCTTGATATTTCACCTTGACTCGTCTCCTGCGCAAAGGCTGACGCCGATTCTCCTGCAGGACGAGGTCAGCGTCACCCCATCGTCCAGTCCAATCCCACGTCGTTTTGAAGCATTTTGATCATACTTGGTGATTCTTGCGGTCTACTCGTAGCTAGCAATATACCTTGACATTATGCATTTATCTATCAAAGCGTATTCTATTAAGCCTTAAGCCTTCTTCTGCTCGATGATTCGCACCCAACGACCTTGGCAATGTCGTGAGGACGCGCGGCTGCCACTTGCAGCTTCCTAGTAGCACCGTGTAATTTCAACGTATACGCAATGCAATATAGGACAATAATGTCATTGAATCACTGGCCTTTTTACTGGGGTGTTCTCACTCAGCAAATGTCGAGTGTACTAGTACGTTGGTACAATAGATGTAGATGGACCATGTCCAGAGCCC